TATGCAATAAAAATGAAAAAAAACCCCTCACTTTTTAAGTTTACTGCTGTTGTAGCTATTTAATTTGTATGTCATGTTTAAATTTTGCTATTAAAAATACAAAAATCCTGTTTGATATGATGATTTGGAAGTGCCAAGTCTAAAACTTGAAAATTGGGTGTCACAGTTGTTTTCATGTGAGTAGACATCAAAACAAAGGGAGCATAGCTCGCTATGAATTTACAGCAGTAATGCAGTACAAAAAGAAAAAAAGTTTGCATCACCTTATATTTTCAGCAAGATAAGTAACTGTATTATTCTATTAATCATTTTAAATATAATTTAGATACAACCTTCTTCTCTTTGTGGAAATCTAATAGTCCAGAATCTGGACCACAAAAAGGGCCAGAGATGGCCTTTAAGATTATGTGTCAGACAATACAGATAACGAGATCATTGACCTGTTGGGCTACTGAAATAAGATAAATAAATAAATCACAAAAGCTTAAAAATCTATACTAAACATTTGCTTTTTCCCAATCTGCTTGAAGATAAGCATTCAAAGTTCATATAAGATAATAAATCATTTTATAAGCTCATTGTTTTCCCAAGTGAAAAATAGTTAATAAGGAAATTCCATTTTATTGAACGGCAATTGATATTAATGCCATTTTCAAAACCAGTTTTCATTCCAGGTCTGCTCCTTCAAGCTTTAGTTTTATTTACTGCAGCTAGAACTCTGAAACAGTTCTTTTTTGGTATTCACTTTCATAATTTCTTATAAGAGCAAGAAATGTTCAAGTAATGTCCAATGAAACACAGCTGGGGATGAATTGGGAATAGCAATCCAGATTTTCTCCTTTCTTACATGAGAATCAAACATGAATTATCTGAATGAACATTTTGATTCAGGAGCATATCTAGCACATGCCTGGTCATAAGCACATGCTCATTGCTTTTTTAAAATTTAAACCTGAAGCTGTAGCATTTTGATGAATAACACTGAAATTAGCCACATAGTGCTAAATTCACTGCTGTTCAAGCCTTGACAGTGATACTCAGCCCTTGTTAAAGGTAGACCTGACAAACCAATCACTCAGCCAATGAACCTTGCACCATACTCTAGTGAGGGTGTTCACACACTGATATATGATTTTCATAAGCAAAATGAAGGTAGCTCTATAAATCAGTGTAGAAGTCCTTACATCATGTGGTAGGCCACTAAGCTTTGTGACATTACATAGGACATTGAGTAGAAGAGATTTAGGATGTGATCCTCTATTAATATAAACCGTCATTACTGCATTGACTACATCAGCTGACAGCGTTGCTAGATACCAAAAGCATTCTGAGGAGTTCTTTTTCCATGGATGCTTTTGTTGATCTAAATGTGATCCTGCAAGAATTAGAACGTGTCAGCTTTGGGTCGTGGGTGTACTGAAGAGTTTTTCAGTGGTTAACACTATGAAAGTGCCCATACTCACCCACATTTCCTATTTCAAATGCTGGGATCATTCTACTGTGGTTTTTTTAGTTATTTTGTATTGTTTTGAAGAAATTCTATACAGAAGAAACAAACAAACAAAAAAAATCAGGATATACACCTCTCATAATTCTGCTCAACAGTATTAAGCTGGAGACACAGGATTTCTCTGTTTAGTTCAGAGAAAGCTCAATTTATTTAATTAGCTGTTCTCCCAGTTTACTTGAGTGTAATGCTGCGAATGCGAATTTTCACAGCAGACTACACTTGGAACTTCATAGGTCAGATATAATTTTTAATTATGTTGCAAGTAAACAACTGAGTTCAGAACCTCTTTTAGGGGGATTACAGTCTGTTTCCAAGTCTGGGAACAGATGTAATTTTAGGAATGAACGGCATTTTGTGCTGACTCGCATCCCTTTCGATCCACTGAGTTCAATGGGACCACAGGGGTCAGAAGTAAAGCAAGATTTGGCCTACCATTTCAGCTGTTTCAGTACAATTTTTGTTTGTGTCCTCTACATAACTAATTTCCAGATCTCAGAGAAAATCTTGTCCCATTCACTGTAAAACAGGAGGAACCATGGAGTAAAATAATTGCGTTAGAGAAACACACAAACGACATTAAGGCTACCTAGTTTGATGTTTTCAAACCTTTTTCTTTTCCTCTGCAAACAATGACAGTTTCAACAGGACCTGAAGTGGTACTCTTAACAAATAATACACTAGTCTGTCATATGGTTAATATTAACGTCTCTCTATTCAAACATGCTGAAAACTGAATAGAACAGTTAACATACAACAGTCACACATCCTTTGCTGAGTACAAGATTGCATCTCTAACATGAACTGAAGATATCCTCAGCATTTCAGATCTTCATCTGCAATTCAGTCAAATATTTCATTCTCTTAAATACATCACTCTTCCCCTCTTTCTGTGTCTTTCGAGGCTGCTGAGTGAACACATTCTCTCCATAAAGGCATTGCTTACGATATGGTTCTTTCTTCAACAGAAATCTTGCTGTGTGTTTCCAATATGTGGCCAAATGTGAATTTGTAGACTTCGACAGGATTTGGGGGTGAGAAGACTTTACATCTGTATTGAAAAAATTTAATTTAATTTTGAAACATCTATTTGGGTAGGATTCTGCACTTTATTGCAGAGAGAACATCTTTTGATGAAATTAATGGTGAACAATTAATTTGTTGTGAGTGCACTTCACAAATTATTGAATCAGAGCTTTATGTAGTAGCCAGTCTTTATATTACAGGTATGTTCACAGGGCTCATGGGTAGACGAAAGCTCACTTTGCTCATGTCCTGAGCTAGTGGGATGTAAATGGTACTGACAGAAAATTCACACAACTGTAGGGATGTGAAGCTGAGTCCCACGTAATACACCTCATCTTTCAGAGGCTTTATTTTTACTTTGGGGCCATAGCCACTGCAGTCAGCTGAGCTCAGGCACAGTGAGATTGTGCCCAGGCACAACATATTGCAGAAACATGTCAGAGTGAGACCACTCCTCATGGTGATCTCACCTTACTGCTACAACAAAAGCTCTGTGTTGTTGAAGAAGGGAGTCTGAAGAAGTAATGCTCCATCCTGGGGCATAAAACATAAGTTTGCCTTCAAATATATTTTTACTGAAAACACACAGTAAAGATTACAGCCATAGAAAGTTCTGTAAACAAGACAATTTCATCAACTTCATATTAAAAAAACCCAAACAAAAAAAAATTCCAAACAAACCAAAACTGCAAAAGAAACCCAAAATAAGACTTACTGAATGAAGACTGTGAATAGTATTTTTTTTTTCACTGCCTTAACAAAAAAAAATAAAAAAAAAAATGACATACACCTTCAGCATTTCTTTTCCAAATTTACTTGACAGAGGTTAAAATATTGCTTTATTCTGACTCAACATACAACAGCACTGTGTGATTGATTGTGCTATTTTGGGAAGTCTTGAGACTTGTGAACTGGAAAGTCTGGGGCACATTAATAAATTTAACAATAATTTGCTGCAAAGGAATATTTTAATACATTCTGTATATACTGTAAATTTTTTTTTAATCAATCTTCTGACATTAACCAGGGAAGGCTAGTTAGCAATTATTTATTATAGTTCATTTTCTTTTTCCCCACAAATAAGCAGATATTTTAATACTAATGAAAACAGTAACGTGTGTGTCACTGAACTAAATTCATTGCATTATTGGCATGTTGTGTTACAATTTTGGGGGGAAGAGGGACTCGAAAGAAAGCAAATGCAAAAAAAATGCTTATAATATGATTGGGATACAGCAACCAGGAAATTATATTTCTTCTCTAAGGCCTTGATCCCCTGCAGGGAGTGATTTGGTAGAAACCATCTGCTCTTACATAGCCCCATTAGAATCAGATCTGTGCATGCCTGTGGGTCTGCCCATAGTGAACCATCTGCAGGGTTGAAGTTTTAAAGTTCACAAGCCTAAGCCACAATTAATTAAAGTGACTGGAGAACTGAAAATGGGAACAAATTAGGGCAGTATGGACACTTATTGGGTGGATTTTGATCATATTGGATCTCCCTGGCTCTTCTCTGAACAATCCATAATAAAAAATAAGTTAAAAAAATACACACACACTCAGAAATGCTCCTTGAGAGCTTACAAATGCCTTCAAAGTACAACAATTCAGAAATGTTGAGGGGACAGTAACGAAAAATGGAGTTTATGTTCCCACTCAAAAAAGCCCAAACCAAAAACCAAAACAAAACCTGTCATAATACACACTTTTGCACTTTCTCTTGTTCTTCCTCACTCTCCACCAAGGCAGCTCTGATAGACAAAGCTCAGAAGATGGAGCAGCCGCAGGCTCCTGACCACTGCATCTCTACAGACCCCAATCCCACTCCACACTTGGTCAAACTCAAAGCTCCCAGATGTTTCCATTGCCTTTCTTGGGCTGACACATTAAAATAAGGTCAAGGGTTAAGCATCTGGCTCAATTTAGGGATTTATTGTCATTGCACTCTAGGTACCAGATCTCAGAAATAGATGTCTGCGTGCCTGTTTCTATTATATGAACCTGGAACAAAGAGGAATGGGGGAGAGGGGACCACTTCTGTGCTGGGGTGACAGGACTTGCTCCCCAGGGTCTGAATCCCTGACCAGCTGCTCATTGCAGTGCTGCCCTGAAACCAGAAATGAATCTAAGAATGGTCTTGGCCTTTACTGAAAAAAAAGATGCATAGCCTAAGCCTTCGGACAGCCGAATGGGACTGTGGTAAAATGCTCTGTAATGGAAACTTTATGTGTAATCCTGCCTAGAAAGCACCTGATGTAGGCTTCATCCCTCCTGGAACTTTCCCCTTAAAAAAATATTTTGTTAAAAAACACTATGATATGAGGGCGATTGACTATTTGGTTTCTTCTAAGTAGATGCTCTTAAATTAATGCATATAAATAATTTGTATTTAATCTCCTCCCTTCCTGTTTAGCAAAGCATCAAATGCACAGATCTCTTGTTTCCCCTCCCACAATCCCCACAAAAGTCACTTGGTCAATACTGAGTCTCTTTGTGTTTCACTTTTTAAGACAAATTGTGCCTCTCGCTCTGACTTGGCCATGGGGCTCATGGGCAGAAAGGCTGTGTTTTCACTCGCGCTGCTCTCTGCTTCTACGCTCGCCAGTTCATAGTCCTCCGACCTCCTCGCGTCCGTCAGAATCCGAATCTGCTCCTGCACAGTTTCTAGCAATATTTTCACTTCGTGTTGTTCTGCTATAAGACAATTACTGACTGGGGAACTCACATTGACAAGTTCAGCTGAATAGGAGTTTTTGCACCATTTGATGCCTGTTATTTCAGAAACATTTTGCATTTGCATGCAGGCTTCATCCAAGCCCACAGATGGGATGATGGGAACTGAGTTGGCCCTTGAAGATGAATAGCCGACCAAGTCCTTCTGATCCACGTTATTAAAATAAGGGGTTGTCTCTCTCGAAGGCAGTTGCATATTTATTGAAGTATTCTGAGGAGTTTTTAAGCCACTGGATGAATACCTGGAAAGAGTAAAAAGAAGTTTTTGTTGTACATCAAGTGGTCAGATGCAACTGGTGGCAGGATCGCTGTACAAAATTCTGTGAACTGTGCTGAAAAGATACATGTCATTTTTCTCTCACACTAGGAGCACTTGGTAATAATGTGGCCCTGGGGAAAACAACAGACTCTGGAGACCTGATTTTGATTCTCAGATCTGCCAGTGGCAAACCACTGTTTTTCTTTCGGCCTCATTTTGCCCACCAGTATATGAGAATAATGACATTTCCTTTTAAAAAGTTTTTAGGAGTTATAATGTATTACAATTAATTTTGTTCGAAATGAAATTTGAAATTCCATTCCTATGTTCTTAACCGGGGAAATGGATTAATGCTTTCTTCAGCATCAGAACTCTCAATGTCAAATGGCTATTTTAGGAAAATACTTTAAAAAGGTGCAGAAAGAATGAGCTTTAAACAAGACATGGTTGTGTAGTCTTTATTTACATAGAAATGTTTCTCTGTGCACCCTTTCAAACAAGTAAAGCATCTAAGTGCAGTATACTTCCAAAAAATAAGGTTTTTTCAATCATCCATACTCCCAATGTTGGCCTGATTTGTTTTCTTAGATCTAATCTGCAAATAGAGCTAATACATTGGGCTAAAGTGTCTCCAATACCTCCCTTATCCTCCATTAATCATATGGACGTATGGAATCATACGTCCATAACGTATCATAGGATGATTTTATTTATTGTGAGGCAACTTTGGTGAATTTTTATCAATATTTCCATTTTGTTTCAAAGCCAAATTAATTATTCTGATCAGAAGTGTTTTCACTTACAGGAAATACTTAAAAACCAGAAATGGAAAGTATACTAAATATAAAATGAAGGAAACAATGACAAAAAAAAAGATGTTTCCCATTTGAGAAGTAGTTTTACTAGAAATCTCGTGCTCTGAGAGTTACTATATCTACTAGCCATGATTGCCAAGGACCATAGACATCACCTCAGTACCACAATATATTTTATTTATAATCAGCTTTGTGATCATATCACTATTTCATAAGGCAAGCTAATGGTGAAGTCTAACATTCTTTATCCATTGATGAGGAAAACAACATTTAGAGCTGGTGTGGAAGCAGGTGCTTTGTGCTCTGACTTGAAGGCTATTTTTCTGAAAGCTGCTTAAGCCTGCTGGACTGTGCTAGGAATAGCCTTCTGCTCATACATGTCTTGCTGCTTTTGGCATTAGCAGAAAGAAAACTAAGGAAAAGAAAGTGAAATGCATGAAACAGCCATAGTCCAATATTAGCGTACAACACTAATTAATTGGAAAGGCTTCCTTTGGCCCCATCATCCTGGCAAGCTGTCAGACGGGAGAGAGGGGAGGAGGAGATATCTTTAGGCTCATTTCCAGCAGAGCACTACTGACTTGTAATTAACTTGTCTATGGTGGCATGGAGTTTGTACAACTGCTTGACACATTAACTCGTACACAAGCACACATGCAGTGCTGTGCAGCCCCTGTATGAAAACACTCCAAGCATCCCCAAAAGACTAGAAAACACAGCTGGGAGCTCTCCCATAAGGAGGAGGTGTTGTGTTCTTTGCTGCTATCTGATGGAAAGAGATACTGCTTTGGGAAGTGAGATCCAGGGGAATAATATAGCAAGCAGCTTTTCTGGATACGTGATAGAACTTCTTGTACATGCTATACGGCTGCATTTTTGTTTTACATCTGAGCCAGCTGAGAGACAGCTTTTGCTTAATTACATTTGCACTATGCTTAGACACACTTGAAGCCACTTATGAAGGCCTTTTTAGAACGGTTTTCAAGAATCAGTATGAATGAAATACTGATCAGGGATATTATTCTGGAGGGAGGAAAATTAAAAAAAAAATAAATGAAAACAAAACAGTGCAGACCTTTGGGTTGTGCCCATTCTTGTTTCCTTTGCTTATTATATAATTGTTCAAACGACTATAGCTGGAGAGATCGCATCAGTTGCATTATTCCCTTTTTTGGTAATTCAGGCCCTAAATATATTCTGGGCTGCACCCTGAAAACAAAGGGAGTGAATGTTTTTAATGAATTTCACATGCAATGGATGTATTATATGGGTGATATATAAGCAAAACCAAGAAAAGATTGAATTAAAATGGGTTTGGTGAGAAAACAGTAACATTTGCTAATTCCATAATAGAGATTCAATTACGCTTGGTATTTTGAAAACTAATTGGCAGCAACAATAATATGTAATGCAATGCCTGACTTATTTCCATAATATTTTTTGAAGTACAGATAGACACACCAATTTTATGCCAGAATTACATGTTTCTGTCCTGTGCTCATAGGACTTTCAAAGAAGGACTGAATATGAATTAAAGCACATACCCTGTGTGCAATAGGCAAGGTATTAACTAGCAGGGATATTGCATATAAACCCTGTGAGACCCAGCTTTTGGTTAATTACAAACTGATCCATGCTTCTACTTGTGACACCAGACTGCTGCTGTTTTCAATAGACTGAGACTTAGATCTATAATTGTAGAATCTTAATTACATTTTCCTGTTATTCACTTTCCTAGAACTATAGTTCCTCCCAAGAAAGATATCTGGTTTTTTATCTGAAAAATTATTTTGTCTGAATAAATTCATTCATGTTCACATATTTCAAAGTGCATTCATGTTCACATATTTCAAAGTGCAGCTCTCTACCCTCTTCATAAAATAAAGTAAAAAAGAAACTCAAACATTTATAAATGCAATAGTAATTATGTAATACTCATACAGTGTTCAAGAGTCTAAATTAATGAAATCGAAAGAAGCATAATAATTTTACTGCCCCTTTAAAATTGATATTAAAAAGAGACAGAGGAGATTGGAACTTAAAATACAAAATGTTTTTTATTTAGTATAGTACCAATAGCTTTGCTATAAGTTCTGCTGCTATAGGTGCTCAGTATACGAGCCAGATGACAAGGTCCATTGACCTTGGGAGTCATTTCAGTAGCATTACCAGGCTTTGTTCAGCCTTCTAAGCATATATATCTATATATACACACCCCATTTTCTACCTGTAGATATGACATATTTGGTCTTGTATACATAAACACACTTATATCTGTATATATACACACTCTCAGGCTATAAGGCACTACTTCTAACGCTTCATACTGCGTAATGCCAACAGCTGTCACTGAAAGCATGCAATCAAACTGTGGTCCACTTAACTGCATGTAAACTCGTGACACCCTCAGAGATTTGACGTGACTGGTATGGAGATTGTTGTTTTCTTTAAGCCCTTCATTTCAAGCAGGTTTTTCTACTCTTTCAAGTAGCATACTGTTTAAATAACTGTTATTAACTGTATTTGACTCAAACTCTGCAGATATTAGATCCTGTTGCAGATAATGAGATCTGGTGTTTCACAAAGGCATCAAAAGCTTTTTTCTCAATGTGGGATGGAAGAGGAACACTTTTACAGGACTAGACAAAAAACTAAACAGGTAAATTAGCCTCTTTTTTATCAAATATAAACATATAAATCTGACTAAACTATAGCTAGAGCTGCTGATGGATGAATTTCAGAAAGTTCACAGAATTAGGGAGATGAACCACTTTAATTTGTGCTTCCCTATAGGGAA